CTGGAGAAGGATATCATGTTTCCTAGGCTGGAGGACCAGAGAAAAAGAAGAAGACACCCAGCGAGGTAGATTTGGCAAAGTGGCAGCATCAATGGGCTCAAACATGGCAACAATTGTGAGGTTGGTTCAGGACCAGGTAGTGTCTTGTTCTGTTGTGCATAGGGTCGCTATAAGTTGATACCAACATGATGGCTCCTAACAACAACAATAATAACAATAAAATATTGGTTGACTTACAAGACAGTTTTATTTTTTTGTTTTGTTTTTTGATAAGAGTGTTCTAAATAGACAGATCTCTTTTTGGACTATTCAAGAATCAATTTGTTGTACGAAATATTGATAAGACTCAAGTTTTCAGAAGTAAGAACAATACAATATCCTTCAATGTTGTTCTAACTTGGCTTCACCAATAGAAAAATGAACACAGTACACGACTACTATGGAGTCCTGGTGTAGCACTGTAGGATTAGCACTGGACTGCAAAGTCAGTTTGAACTGCAGAGGCGGTGGCTCAAACTCACTAGTCACTCCTTGGATCCATAGACAAGATTGCTGTGAGTCAGAACCTACTGGCTGGCACTTAACAACAACAACACAAATACTGTAAGTAAAGAACTCATTCAGATCTTTTTTCCAAAGATCCCAAACTAATAGTTGACTACACTCTGTCCAGATTTTGGCAGGCTGTTGAGAACCTTTCAGGAAGCTGTATCTATTATACAGAAAGGTTGTTATTAATACTATAACATAAGTACCAAGCACTTCAATAAGCTTTAGGGGCAATAAAAGCAAACTTTTTGTAGGAGGCAAAGGAGCCCTAATGATACAGTGGTTCAACATTCAACTGCTAACTGGGAAATTGGTTGTTCAAACCCACCAGCTGATAGAAAGTTGTGACAATCTATGACAATCTACTTCTGTAAAGATTTATAGCCTTGGAAAGCCTATGGAGCAGTTCTATCGTGTCCTATAAGTTCACTAGGAAGCCACATGGGGCAATTTTAACCTCTCCTGTAGGCTCACTATGCATCAAAATGAACTCAGGTTTGATTTTATGGTTTATATGGGTGCATAACACTTGAATTTTTCATACAGCAGTTCATTTCCAGATTCCTCTGATTTTCATTTTCCTGCCTTGTAAGCTTGTCTACTTTGCATATTTCCAAGAGTATAGATGCATTATCAGAAGAAAATGAGTGTTTGAAATATATATATATATATATCTGGTAGTATAGTCGTTTCGAATCGGGCTACTATCCTCAGGGTCAGCATATATATATATGTTATATAATATTATATATGGTAGTGGTGGTGGTTATGTGCCATGCAGTCGGTTCTGACTCATAGTGACCCTGTACAAGATTTCCAAGGCTGTAAATCTTTGTGGGAGCAGAAAGCCAAATCTTTCTCCCATGGAACAGCTGGTAGTTTTGAATATATATATATATGCTGAACATATATATAATGACATATTGCATTGGGCAAATCTACTGCACAAGACCTCTTTAAAGTGTTAAAGAGCAAAGATGTCAGTTTGAGGACTATGCTGTTCCTGATGCAAAACATGATATTTTCAGTCACCTGGATTACAAACCACAAGGTTGGTGGCTGAAACTGACAAGCTGATACTGAGAAACCCAACACTTAACAGCAATATTCATATCCATGGAGCATGGTGGCTCTGTAGGTAAGCACTGGACTGCAAAACAACATCAACAGTTGGAGCCCATTAGCTGCTTCCTGGGAGAAAGATGAGGCTGTTTGTTATCTTTGTTAAGTGTTGTCAAATGGGTTCTGACTCTTAGCGACTTGTTTTTAAGTGCCTTTGGGCCAGTTCTTACTCAGAGAGACTTTTGGATGTTAAGTGCCCTTGAGTCGGTTCTGACTGAGTGACCCTGTCTAGGGTTTCCTAGGAGAGACTGGTGGGTTTGACTATGTATGTATGTATGTATGTATGTATGTATGTATGTATGTATGTATGTATCTATCTATCTATCTATCTATCTATCTATCTATCTATCTATCTATCTATCTATCTATGGAGTCCTGGTGTGTAAAGAAAACAAAAACCCTCACCACTGGACCGATAAATAACATAAAGATAAATGGAGAAAAATTCAAGTTGTCAAAGACTTCATTTTGCTTGAATCAACCATCAGCACTCATGGAAGCAACAGCCAAGAAATCAAACGATGTATTACTTTGGACAAATCTACTGCACAAGACTTCTTTGAAGTGTTAAAGAGCAAAGATGTCAGTTTGAGGACTAAGCTGTGCCTGACACAAAATTTTCTATAGCCTCACATGCATGGCAAAGTTGGATAGTGAATAAGGAAGACTGTAGAAGAATTGAAGCATTTGAGTTATGGTGTTGGAGAAAAATATTAAAATTACCATGCACTGCCAGAAGAACAAATAGATCTATGTTGGAAGAAGGACAGTCAGAGAGCCCCTTGGAAGCTAGGATGGCTAGACTTTGTCTTTCATATTTCCAAAATGTTGACAGAAGGGACCAGTCCCTGGAAAGGATAGCATGCTTGGTAAAGTGGAGGGTTGGAGAAGAAGAGGAAGACCCCAATGGGATGAATTGGCACAGTGGCAGCATCAATGGGCTCAAGTGTAGCAATGATTGCGAGGTTGGCCCAGAATCAGACAGTTTCGTTCTGTTGTGGATTTTGTCCTGTAGAGGGTTTCTGAGGAGTGAATGACATTGGGGTTCAAACCGACTTTCCAGTCGAGTGCTTATCCTATAGCGCCACACCAAATCTACACACACACACACACATACATACACACACACAGAGAGAGAGAAGGGAGGGTCGGGACATAAAGAGTGTGAGAAGGAGAGAGGAGGCTCATGAGTCAGGTGGAGTAAAGGCTAAGTTAAGGACACAGTGGAAAGGAAAAAGAAAATTGTTACTTTGGATTGTTGATACTAAAGACTGTTCAAGTTTGTATTTTAGGTTCTGCTCCATTTATGTTCAGAAATACCTAATCATCTCTCAGGAATGCAGTTTATATTCAGAATCAGGGGTAACATAGACAGTATTTAGGGAGGGGCCTGCCTCATCAGCCAAGGGAGATAACTGATTTGAGTTTCAAAAGAAGATTAGTTTGTTGTCGTTGTTGTTGTCAAGTGCCATTTAGTCAGTTCCTACGCATAGCAACCCTGTATAGGGTTTCCGAAGAGCAGCTGGTGGGTTTGAACTGATGACCTTGTGGTGGTTCCAAGTCCAGTGCTGATCCTACAGCACCACACCAGGAGTCCTGGGTTCTTGAAATCATCTGAGAGGGTAAGGAATCAGGCAACTGGAGAAGTGAAGCTTCAATCCATCCGAAGCATGGGAGTGCAAGGTGGGTTACTCCCGGGGTTGAGGAGGTAGGGGGCTGCTCCTCTGGACTAGGAACTGGGAATGTGTGTGGCAAGGGGTTCGCTCAGCTAGGACAAGGTGTTGGGGTGTAAGGGTAGGGCGGGGGCCTGAGGGGTGGCTTGGAGCCCTGGCGGTGGCTGCCTGACGTCACCGGCCTCTCTGGCAATAGGCTGTGAGCTGAGCTCCCCGAAGCAGCGGCGGCGGCGGTAGCAGCAGCGGCAACAACAGTAGCGGCAGCTCGGCTCGGTCTCTGGCCCTTTCACTCCAAGCCTTCTGCAGCCGCCACTGCAGCCGCGCGGCGGGGGCTTCCTCCCTGCAGTCAGCTGGAGGCCCCAGGTAAGAGAAGCGATGAGGTAACGGTCCCAAGCGACTGGGTTTAGGGGCGGCTCGGCGCGAGGAGGAAGGACTATCTCGGCGGCCTGCGCAGGCACTCCTGGCTATTGCTTCAGTCCCCACCCCGACCTTAGCCCCGGCCAGGGTTTGCGCGCCGCCTTTCTGCTCCGCAGTGCAACAGTTTGCAGCTGCCTCTTGGGAGCGGCAAGAAGATTCTGCTGTGCTCTGCGGGTCGGCACGGCTTTAGCCCCCAGGAAAAGCCTTGGGGCCCTCGGACTGGGTCTGGGAAGGCCGCAGAGAAGGTTGGTTCCGCAAACTTTGCAGGCGGGAACCCTCCCCCTTCCATTTCCAGCTCCCCTAGAAATAAGCAGGATACTGTCAAGTGGGGGAAACAGGGAGATGGTAAGGAGGAGGGCGTCTGCGGGGATGTGCTTTTTATTTGGGGGAGGGGGGAGAGTGTGCTAGGGAAGAAGGCGTGTTACTGGGCGTCCGCTGTGGCCATGGACAGAGAAGGAGTGGGACGAAGAACTAGGGATATCTCCTGGGAATGGGACCTAAGGGACCTGACGCCGTCCAGTGCGGGAGAGGAAGAGGGAGCAAATGAAGGGAAAGAACTGCGTACCCGGAGTCAGCCCGGCTGCCGGGGGTGGATGGTGGGAGAATAGGATCTAGTCAGAGACTTCCGCGGAGAGGCTGCAGGAGACTCCAGAGACCCGGCGCTCCAGGAAGCTGTTGCCCCGTTTGCTGCAATTAGAAAGTTACAGAGGCTCTGGAAGGCTGCCCTATCTGCTGAGTAATCCACTCCTCTGCGGTGTCAGTGCAGACCCCTTTCCCGCAAGCAGCTCGAGCAAGCAGCCCGCAGCTCCGGTGCGTGTCCCGGGGATGGAGGGTTACGCAGACTGGGGTCCACGAACTGCGAAACGGCCGGGCAACACACATTGAAGTCAGTATGCCCAAAGAGCCACTTTGCAGTGGTTGATCATTCCTGACCTCCGCATCTCCCTTAGCAGTGCCGAGGATGCTAACTAAGCCTGTTCTCTTTGCAGCCTGGTGTCTTGGCGAAGGAAAAACGCGCGCGGAGAGGCATTTGAGGCGGAGCCTGAGAAGATCTCCCAGGCGCCGCTCGCTGGCCGCATTGCTAGCCGGCAATTGCTGCCTTAGTCCTTTGCTCGCGCACCTTCGCCCTTGCAAGGAGTTGTTTTGAGTGGCTTGCTCTCCGTCGTCTTCTTGGCTAGTGGGGACCGTGTGCTCAGGACGAGAAGCTTGGTGGGCTCGGCCCCTCCCAGCCCAGCGCCGATGAGTGCCAGGGCGCCCAAGGAGCTGAGGCTGGCTCTGCCGCCGTGTCTCCTCAACCGGACCTTTGCTTCCTCTAACATCAGTGGCAACGCGAGTGCTCGTGGTCCGGGCGGCGGCGGCACCTGCATAACGCAGGTGGGACAGCAGCTTTTCCAGTCTTTCTCATCCACTCTGGTGTTGATTATCCTAGTCACCCTCATATTTTGCCTCATCGTGTTGTCCCTCTCCACCTTCCACATCCACAAGCGTAGGATGAAGAAGCGGAAGATGCAGAGGGCTCAGGAGGAATACGAGCGCGATCACTGCAGTGGCAGCCACCGTGGTGGTGGGCTGTCCCAAGCAGGCAGCCAGGCCCCAGCCCACGGAAAAGAAACGCGGCTGGAGAGGCAGCCTCAGGACTCTGCCTTCTGTGGCCCCTCCAACGCCTCCTCCTCCTCTTCGTCCCCGGGCTTCCAGGGTCCCTGCCCTCCTCCTCCTCCACCACCAGTCCCCAGTCCACAAGGAGCACATACAGCCTCCTCCTGTTTGGACACAGCTGGCGAGGGCCTTTTGCAGACGGTGGTACTGTCCTGATTGTCTAGCTCCTCTCATCTCTCCGCTCTCCTTTACAGCTCTTTTGCTATCTTTGCTTCCCCCCACCACCACTCTCCTCCCTTCCTTTTCCACATTCCTTTGGCCTCTCTACTCTTTCTTCTTCGTTTCCTCGCTGCCCTCTCCTTACTTTGTTTCTCCTCCGCCGAGGCACTGTGCGGTATTTGTAAATATTGGGCGAGGAAAGTCTCGGAAGAAGAAGAAATAATGCTGATAATGCTACTTTATTAATATTTATAGTAATTATTATAATACTAATAACACAATCCAAGCGCATGACAAATCACGTAATTTCTTATTGTCAATGAAGGATGCGTCTTCCCTCTCCCCTCCCCCCCATGATAAGGAGGAGAAACCGCACAAGCTACCAAATATGTATTGACCCCTGGGAACAAAGGGAGGGGAGGAAGCTCAGTGGTGTTGTACATAGCTATCAAGTTAAGGTTCACTTACCTCCCTACACTCCCTACACTAAGTTCTCACTTTTCCTTCAGCTTCCTTCTCTTACCTATGCCCAACCCCAGCTGGGCTCAGGCAATACCATATTAATAAAGGAAATGTCTACACTAATTAAACACCAAGACTACAAGAGGCCTCCAAAACAGTTCTTCAAAGCGGCGAAACAAATATAGAGACTAGTTTAAATGTAGATATTTCAATCCCTGCGTGAACCCAGGAAAGGAGACATTTATGACAATTGGCCCTCTCCAGTCAGTCTTTTTCCTCACACCTTGGTATTAACCATTCATTTGTCCAAGGCAGGACATTTTAATTTACTTTTAGAAATGTCCCTCGCTGGCCGAGCATACAAACACTAATTATTAAATAAGTTCAAAACAAAAGCAAAGTTAATCCTTCCCTCCTTGCCCCGCCCGCTTCTGTACACCTTTGACTCATGGCATTTTCAGGATTCAGAGGATCCGGGAGCTGTCCAACCAGGTCTGGTGCTGAAATAGCTTCACCATTCATTCTGGTTACTGCCTCTGGTGCGCAGGTGGAAGAGGGGCTGTTTTGGAAAGTGACTATTAATAGTTTTCAGTTGGTTTCTTCCTTTTCTACAACTAGATTTGCTTGTACTGTTGAGTTTCTTATTATTAAACATCTTATTATTAAACATTTCTTATTATTAAAAACAAAGTATTAGGTGATGTGCAGTACTGGAAGTGCAGTATCTAACCAACCAGAATGTTTCTGCTTATTTTTAGAACAAGTATACCTTTGTTATATATTTATTCTATTGGTACCAAATACTGAATCAAACTACAGTTATGTACTATGTTTTCCAAACTGTATATTCTTGTTCTTAATTTCCAGCTGTTGATATAATGGCTACCACTGGATGTGAAATTCAGTGGTGCAGACCTGGCTTCTGCTGTTTCCAGAAGTGTTCTTTTGTACCTTACCCTGCAGTAGACTGTTATGAAAAGTTGACATAAATGTTTTTCTTTTTTCTTTTGTGAATAACAGAAACAACCACCACAACAGAAAACAAATAATGGATGTGCAGGAATGCCATCTATTAAAACATGGTTAATATTTAAACAGTGCCTGTAGTCCTCCCTGCATGCAGTTACCACCAGGAGGCAGTGGTGTGTGTGCTTGCTTGTTTGGTATGTGTTTGGGGTGAGATTGGTGGAGATGTTGGATAATTTGGATAACAGGGCATGCCAATTTCTTTGCAACCTGTTTAGTTAGAAATCTGTGTCTGTCTCTGTGATACATCAGAGGAGGGGGGTCTTTTTATCTTTCTGAGGCTTAGTTAACTTCACCGAATACAAGAGGTTGAGGGACAAAAAGTGGGAGAAGATAAATATTTTGTTCTTTCTTCTAATGCTAGTCAAGACTCTGTTAGAAATGGAGTATTCATATGGTTATTTACCACTTTCTTTTCCTTGAATTGATGATATAAGGGGAAGAAGCAAAATATAGCTTTAATTATATGCAGTGGCAACCCTTCTATTGGGAAACCAATCCTTAGAGAACTATTCAAAAGTCTGGAAAATGTATGGATAAGAATGACCTACCAAAAGCTCAACTGAAAGAGTCCTTCTGACCTGCACAGTATAAGGCAACAGTGACCCTACATACATCCCTCTTCCAAGTAACTAGTTGTTCTAGATGTTCTGTCTTGGTTACAGGAATATGTGCTCTTATCCAGAAAAAAATATTACCTCTGAAGTTTTAGGTCATCTATTAAATTGCCAATTGCCCAAGTGCAGTCAGAATCTTTATAAAATTATTTAATAAGCTTAATTTTAATCACTCCTTCCTGAAGCACAGTGGATCATCATTTAAGTATACTATGTTATAATATTAGTCTGACTAGGTATAATCTTGGGTACAGTAACAATGAACCAGATTCCTGTGCCTTAGTCACTTCCTGGTAATAGGCAAAAGAGTGCATTAACTCCCTCAGGCCACTAGGGAATCCTTTAGTGCATCAGAATGACTAAGGCACTATGAAGTTGAAAGCCCATTAATTTCTGTAGCTCACCCTCATCCAGCTGTAGCTCTTTAATATCTTATTATAGAATGTCTTTTAGTCTTGAAATTTGAAGAGAATTACAGAGCTTCCTCATTTCCAATGAGCTCTACCAAGTGCATGAATATTACTTTCGTTCCTTTATTTGGTGCACATTTTACAGTTAATAATTTCCCATTTTATTAAAGCAATAAGATGTTCTGTTGTGAGCAGTGTAGGATGATGATTCCATTTCCTTGGTGCTGAAGCTACTTATACATTCTTGCCTTATGAATCATAGTGCATTCAAGGCATGCAATAATAATCCCTTTCCAAGGAGCAGCCTACAAACTCTGGTGGTAACTATGAAATTGCCCTATATTATTTCCCCCAAAAGAAATAGAAGGAACAGGAGAAATAAAATCAGTGTATGTTGTAAAAACAAAAAGATCTTGATACCTCTAACCATGGACACACATATCTGTATTTGCTTTTATTGTATACCTTTAAATGTATATACCTTTCTCCATCAATTGACTATGGCTTCATATTTTTAATATTGCTTTCATGTAAAGATGATGTGGTTTTTAAAATCAAATTTCATGCTGAGTTAAATTTACTCAGAACTCCAAACTTCAGTGGTGTCATTTGAGATTTTTTTTTAAGATAGAAAATTATATAAAAATTTAGTAATGCCAGTTCCCACGCAAAATTATTGCAATAAGCACATATCCAAGCAATTCACATAGGCCCTATTTAAAGCACTTCTTCTAGTAGAGCTCAATTGACAGTTTCTGGAGTTTGGGTAATACCAACAGGACATTTTAGTTTTCAATGATATGAAACAAAAGGCAATCTGGAAGTAGCTAAATGTATTCAGGATTTATCCACTCTTGTCCCATCAAACTAATTGCTTCAAATCCCGATAGCTACAGCTCAACTTCTGCACTTGCTACTCAGTGGCATGCTTGATTCTAATGGTTTTTAAAAATGGGAAAATTTGAGAAATAATGCCATTATGCCAACTGTATGGGACTCCGAATCTTAAAGATGTAGAAGGATATAGTCTTTAGAATTTATATATGCCCATAGATACGTATTTATATATGCATACATTTTGTACAAATTTACAATTGACTTTTTGTATTCTCTTTTCTGCCATTACAAGAATGAGATGGAAACCAAATAGTTGTTCCATCTTCTTAGCCAGAAAGGATACTGAAAAGTCAGGTATATGCATGCGCTTATGTTTCTGGGATCAAATCTGAATGACTTTCTCCTTATTTCACAAAAGGAGATAGTTCTGGTTGACTTGAGGAATTCATAATTAGATAACACTCTTTTTTTTAGGTTAATGACTCTAATGTAGCAATGATATTTGAGTTACGACAAGTGTATATATGTGGTCAAAATACCTAAATGGAGAGCAAAAGAGATTTGGAGACATCTAGACTAAAAACTTGGAGTTTGACTAGATTTTTCCTTTTTAACCTATCTGTTGTGTGGTGATATAACTTATATCTGCATAATTAATACAAAGTGAAAGTAAAGTTTAGTTCAATAATTAGTTTTTGGAAAATATGGATAAATTAGGTTTAACAAAACTTCTTTGGCATCTGACTTTCCCATCATTTCTTTCTTTACAAAGTGAATTAACTAGGTAATGGCTAAAATTCAATTTTTCTTTCAATGTGCAGACATGCTTTCAGTGCTTTTCTGTAGACAACAGTTGAGCAACTGCTAGTTGATACTACTTGAAACTTACAGATCAGATGATAACCTCCGGTGCATTCCCATATGAATCTGGACTTTGAATCTGAATTTGAAAAGTCACTTATCTGGATCATCTTCCTTTGGAACCAGTTACTGTGGTTCATAGTTGTTTCAATTCACATTAGAATAAATTGCCCTGTTGTTTAGAACTGTAATTATTACATTGAACATGAATCTGATTCTGATTTGTTTCTATTTATCTATTAATTTATTTGGTAACACTTGAGAAACAGTTTCTATGGCCTAACATCAGTACTTATTAATGTCACCAATCTGATAAATACAATTGGTGCCATCATGTAGGGCCACTTAACTGAGAATAATAATTTAATTAACTTTAATTGTGGGGCAATGATTTATAAAAGTGATCCCACCTGGTTAATACAGGGATATTTCCCTGATATTTATTATTTCATTTGGTTATTTCTATAGAGAGAATAACAACTACAACCACAACAATGACAACACCACCAACAGAGGAAATGATCTTGAACTTAGATATAGCCAATAGAAAGAATAAAACATATTAGAACTCATGGACGTTTTGTTTTGCTTTTCTATCAATAAAAACATTTTATTGTTAACTGGCCTTTTGGACACTATTTCCTTATTAATTTATAATATAGCAGGCTCACAAAATTACTCATTCTATTACTCTCAGATATTCAAAGAAATTGCAGGGTTTTAAAAAAAAATTCTCTATTACTCTTCTGATCTTCCTCACAAACAAACTGACATCTAAGTAATG